TATACAGTCAAAGCAGCATCTATGAAGCTTCTAAAAAGCTTCCATAGAAGATATTATATAATTAACTTATTTTTACCTACTTATATTTATTTTTACATATTTATATAGTTAATTTTGCCTTAAATGTGTATGTCCATGACACTAGATAGGAATGGCCTAGGCAAAAGTACCATCTTTTGGTAGGACATTGTTTGGCATAGAGCTTTATTTGACAAGGTCCTTAATGATAGGACTCAGTTTGATGTAGCTACTATTAATGGAGCCTATTTTGGTATGATCCAAGCCTACTTGGCATAGGCTAACATGGCCATGGCCCAATCCAATAGAATCCAATTCTGTAAGATTCAAGTTCACGTGTCCACATTTGTAGAGCTTCAACCAAGGCAATCTTTGATAGTACGACTGCTTTGAGCATTACTGCTTGATCAAGCTCAATATCAAATAGTAGCCAATATACTTTAAATTCACATATTTTAAGTTCATACAATATTCTAACCTTATGGTATCATCAATTGGGCCACCTTAATCATTGCAGCCTATAATGTATGGCATGCCATCATCTTGTTTTTGGATTTTCTTCATTAATAAATAATTTACCTTTTTATAAAGATTTTGTTTATGAAAAATACAATAATATGCCTTCCTCCAAAATACTTACCACACATGCTACAACATTATTAGCATTGATTCATTCTAACCTTTGTAATCCTATAGCTATCCTTTCTCTTAAAAAAACTTATTATTTTGTCTTATTTTTGGATGATTACTCACATTTAACAATAATATTTTTTCTCAAAAAGAAATCTGAAGTTTTTGGTCTTTTTTTAAAATATCATTGCCAAATTATTACTCAATTTTGCCAATCCTTATTAATCCTTCAAATGGATAATGGTAAAATATTTATAAATAAAATATTCTCAACTTATTTTGAACTTCATGGTATTAATTGATATTTTACAACTCTTTATATTTCTTTTCAAATTGGTGTAGTTTAGCATAAAAATTGATCTTTTATTAGTTTGGCTCACATCATGATACATGCGACGAATCTCAATACTAGTTATTGAGCCAAAGCAGTTTTTATTGCTTGTTATTTAAAAAACCTATCTTATCATTCTTCCTTGCCAGATATAACTTCTTATAAACAATGGATCAACATTAAATCCAACCTCCATTTTAAAAAACAAGCCATGGTAGCACAATCAAGTACAAAAATAGATTATATTGTGGTAGCAACATCTTTAAAAGAATTGATATGATTTCAAACTCTTATTAAAGAAATTGGACATCAAGTAAGTTTATCAAGCACAATTTATTGTAATAATCAATCATGTATTGTAATGACACAAAACCCATGTTTCTATGATTGTGCAAAATATATTGATATCAAGTACCATTACATTAGAGACAAAGTAAAAGCAAATGAAGTTGTCTTAGAAATTTTTTCCTAAAAATGAAATAAAGACAAATATAATGACAAAAGCACTTCCAAAATCCAAGCACAACCATTTCTTGAAAGATTTAATCAACATCAATAATTCAAATGAACTTTATTCTATGATGATTAAGAAGGAGTATTAGATTTATTAATATATATTAGATTAATTAGTATATGTTAATAAATGTAGAGTTACCTTTAGGTAGTTACAAAATAGTTATGGAGAAGTTACAAGACAATATAAAAGACTCTTATGAATATGATGTAATCAAGTTATTTTATTAATATACTTCATGCTTTATATTATTGTTAGTATTCTTTTTCTTACAATACTCTTATAAATCTTTCAAGAATAAGAGCTTAAAGAAGATATATAAAGAAATGAAATATGTATCAAAGAAAGATGGAAAAATAGAAATAAGAAAGTATATATATTCAAGAAGAAATTGGAATAGCTATTGCCAAAGACTAAAAAACATGAGACTCTTAAAACTAAACTAGAAGCAAAAAAAAATTTGACAAGAGTGAAGAAGGTCTCACTCTTGCTTCTATTTATAATATCTAACTAGGAGCTATTTGACAATGCTCTATGAAACCTTCAACATGCATCTAACTTCTATGACATGTGTCTAACTTGCAAGAGAAGTTTCCTATGTGTGCACCACATAGTTAGCATTACCACAAGCTATCCACAAGTGGAACATGTGGCTAACTTGTTGGCCAAGTGTTTAAACTATCAATTACTTGTAGATACATATAAAATTGAAATTGTGTCTATGAAGCTTTTAGAAAGCTTCTCTGTAAAATATTATCAAACTTTTGAGTAATAATGAATAAAAAAAAAAATTTATACAAAAAAAAATAATATAAAAAATTGAATTTATATTAAGTCATAAATAAATAAATTTTTAATAATAAATAATAAATAAAATAAATAATTTTAAAACAATACATAAGAAAATTAATAGATTAATATTTTAGAAAAGAAAAAAAGTCAAAGTGTATAGTTGAAAGATAATAAATATTTCAGATAATTTTTTTAAAAAATAATAAATAAATAAATAAGTTATAAATAATTTCAAAACAACAAAGAGTGATTTAGAAACAAGAAGAATTGAGAAATATAAGAGAAATATAATTTAACAGTGTTGATAAAGGTAGTCAAGATGTGTGGCTATTGATTCTTTGTCATTTGTTTTTAGCAAATAAATAAATTGCTCTTAAAATCCTATTATTTTTATGTAATTTTAAATTATAATATATTCTTTTATAATTTAGAACTAAAATAAAGATTTTTTGAATGATAAAATTAAAAAAAGATAAACTAAAAAAAAAGGTGTCAATGACAAAAATAATTACAATAGGTGAAAAATTAAAATGAAGAAAGAAACAAGAGATTGGGATAAAACAATCAAAATCTAAAAGTAAGTATGATCAAATCAAAAGAAGCAAATAAAAAATAGAAGAATATTGCAATTAAATAATGATAAATATAATTAAAAAAAATACAAAAAAATTGTAGCAAAAAAAGATCAAAGTGAAGTAAAATTACAATAGCTAAAAAAAAAATTGATCAAGTGTTGACTATATTACTCATTTATTCTTCTTCTTATTTTGTGCAATTATTCTAGAGACTAAAACATAGATTATAGTCTTGAGATCAATTTTGTTTCCTTAAAATTTTGGTTTCTTATCAATGTTTGTTTCTTTATCTTTCTTAGTTGTATTAAAAACTTCACCTAAGACTAAACTTCTTTTATGAATGTAAAAATATAGGATGCATTTTTTTTTTTTTTTAAATAATCAAATATATTTGCATAAACATTTTCTCCAATCTCTATTAATTTGTTAGATCTTTAAGCTTTTGTGTAGGAATCTTTGATCATAATTATATACAATAAGAAATTCCATAAATAATATTGTGTTTGTATGTCTTATGCACCTTGTTTGTTCTTGATTGCCAACCTCACGCTTACATATGCTTACTAAACTATCTGTTAAAACTATCATTGTCAACTACATTTTTCTTGTTGTTATTATATAAGACTACACTTATATCAATATTTTTTTAATAATTTTCTTTATTAAATAAATATCTTCCAAATTTCTTATTGTATATTGTAGTTATTGAATTGTAATCTTCTTGTTATGTTATAATTGTAATCTAATATTTTTTTTAAATGCCAAAAATTAGTTTGAATCTCATATTTTTAGAAGAAGTGTTGAAATGATTGAAACATTTTTCTTTTTTTCTTTTTTTTGTCTATTTTTATTTTGCTTGTATCTTATCATTTATTTTTCTAAAATAAATTTCTTTACATTCAAAAATTTGTTCTAATTTTCTAGCTCATCAATTAATGTAGTACCATGTGTGTTTGCTCTTACTTGTCCTCCAAGACCAATTTGTTTGAAACTTAATCTAAATAGCAGATATCTTACCTACATTTCTTTTTTTCTTTTGTGGACATTGTTTGTTTTTTAAACGTACATGAATATTGCAATCTTTAATGTTGTGTGCAGTTTTCCAGTAAATCTATAATTAATAGACTTTTTTTGTAATTTACGAATATGGTAATTAATTTTCTAAAAATAAAAATAAAAAAATAAAAAAACAGGATTTGTCATCAGAACCTCTATTTTTTATCCTTTGCTAAAATTTAATGCTAGGCAAAACCTAGGTGCATATGAGTAGAATTCAATTTTCTAAAATTATTCATTATAGAAAAAAGAAAAAAGCAAAAGAAATTGTATTACACCCATTTGGATATTAAAGAAAATATTTCGTTTACCATATTTATTAAAAACATGTATTCAAGAAATGGGTAAATTAACGTTTGTCTTTACTAGCTTTCTACAAAATATTGTAAGTTTGCTAATATCCAAGTGAACAAATCCATCAAAAACATGTCGCTGCTTTAGTTTATACAATTCACAGACGTTAAGAAACTAATATTGAGATATGCTATTTTTGGAACGCATGCTAATCATATCGAGATTTTAACATTGGCAACAAGAGTGAAGAATGTGAAATTAATTCAGAAGCATTATTTCAGCATCAGTTGCTACAACTAACAGTTATTTGTAACGGTACTTGCCCAGTCCCCACAACAGTTATCCCTTCTCTTATCACTTGCACAATCCGTTTGCACACAAATATAGTACCAGTATTTGAGGCAATAATACTACATCTTGTCTTACTGATGATATATTATAAGGTGCTACGTTCTGGTTGAAACATGCAAAAGTGTTTGTTAGTTGATTTACAAAAAATAAATGTCACAAATTAGAAGCCTACAGGATGGAGTGCTAAGTATGAATAGGGTAACTTGAATGGCGTCAAAGGCCGCCGTTGCAGTGAATAATATAAATGCCTGGACAGTAGGCATACAGAAAAGAAAAAAAACAACTCTGGATGCGGAGATGCTGCAGATATTCTTGTCACCAACACAGCCCTCCATGCTGGAGCGAAGTCCTCCAAGATTGCTGCATTGTATAGCAAGGGAACATACTCAATGGTATATTATTCTCCGCGACAAATAGTGCTGAGCAGTTCACGAAATCGTAATGGCAACAAGCGGAAAAGCACATTAAGTCAAAAGTCAGTTACAAAATGGAGACAATACAGGATGTAAGAGCTCGCCGGCCATTCTAGGAAGACATGACTGATTATATGACAAAGACGACTCCATCAAAGCATTCAGTCAAGATCTACATCCTTGTTCTCACTCTTCTACATCGCTGTTTCCAATCTATCGTCATGAAATGAACATGCAGCTACATTTGCAAAATGACCTATATCTTGGCAGCGTCTGCTCCCGTAGATTCCTGAGCTCCGTCTTCAGACTTCACGTCCTCGGCAACCTTGGTGGGCTCGCTGGCAACAGCGGGCTTCGATTCCTGGGACTCAAGCTCCGGCATGTCGTCCTCATCTTCCATATCTTCTTCATCATCCATGCCTCCCATGCCTCCCAAACCCTTCATGTTGGAGAAATCCATTCCACCCATGCCACCCATGCCACCCATTCCGCCCATGCCACCCATATCGAAGCTGCTCTCCGGGGCCTCATCCTCCTCGTCCTCGTCCACCCACTTATTCCAATCCACCTTCACAAATTGAGGGGCCTTCCCTTCCGCCTTGAGCAACCGGGACCACCATCCCGCCTCCTTCTTCACCAACACAAGCGTCGTATGCCGCTGCCCTTTGTTGACCACGCTCTTCTCTACATCAATCGCCCCGAAGAGTTGCAGATCCGTCTCAAACTTCAGATCATTGGCACCAACCGTCGCAGAAAACGTAAACCGGCCCTCCGGCTCCAACTTCACCTCCGGATGCTTAGCATCCAGCAACTCCACAGTAAGGAACACCTTATCAGAGCGTTGCGCCCACAAAATTTCGGGGTGACGAGACATCTCTACGCCCTTTTCTCAACCTCCACCCCCGAAAAGAAAAAAACAACGAGATAAATAAAAATAAGAATAAAAACAAAACCCACGACCGATAGAAAAAAAAGTCCAAAAACCGATAGCGATCACTCAAAACTTCGAAGCTGTAACGAAACAGAAATACACTGCGCCCAACAAATCCTCCCGGGAATAGGAGCAAATTGGAGCGAATAGAGGCGAACCCTAATGGTGGCGAAGATGGAGGCGGAAGAAGGAGAAGCAAAGGGGGGTTATGGAGAGTGGTGCTGCTGATGGATGAATAACGAAGGCCATGGAACAATCTAGACTCAGCTAAGAAGGGTACCCTCGCCCTTGCCCCCCACATCACCCCTCAACGATGCCTGCCTTGCTGCCTACGTGGCTACCTGGAAACTTCCAGGCCCTTGGAAGTTCTGGAATGATCCTGGAGACGTTGTGTCGTCAGACAGCCTATATTTGAACCGGATGCTTCGAGCGTCGGGGTTCACATTGCCACAGCCTCCGCCCCGTCCCCGTCCCTCCGTGCATTGACTTGGATGGATGTTGTTGCAACGTATACTTTTATCGTTCATCTATGTCTAAAATTAGATCCCCACCCAAGCCAACTCTTCTCTCACGTTGAAGTCCTGCCCTCTGCTTCTTACTTTTACCTTTCTGGGGGTTTACCTTTGTGCCTTTGTTAGGGTTTATGGGATTGCATAGATTTCGTTACTGGTCGCTGTGTTGAGGATTGTGGGTTGGGATATTAGGGTTGGGATTTTTTTGGCTTTTTTGGGGGGTTTTTTAGTTCAAATAAGTGGAAAACAATAAAGATCTGGTTTTCATGTGATTGAATTTTAAAAATTCCTTTTTTTTCTCTTTTTCTTTTTTTTGTCATGTAATTTGTGTTTTTGAAAGATGAATGAATTACAGTGTTTTTTAATCAATGAGAAGAGACGTGAGGAATAGCATTTCACCACATCTTTCCTCGGATATGGACATGAATGGCTTTTTTAGAGTCTTATTGAGGTCGAATATGAATTTTAACCACTAATTAATATAATACAATTGGTAATCACGAATAAATACCAAGATAATAGTCTTATTTTGTTGTGACTTTAAACTGTCTAAAAGTCACCACACATTAGAAGTTGCAACTGATGTAAACATTCATTATATATATATATATATATATATATATATATGTGTGTGTGTGTGTATTGAATAATTTAAGACCACTGCATAAAACACAATAAAAAAAATCCAACAGGTGTATATTTTAAAATAATTTTACTAAAGAAAATTATAAGTGGAAATTTTAAAAGAATGAATATATTTAGATGTTATTGAAATATTGTTAAATTTTAGAATAAAAAACTGAAGCTCTTAAAAGTTGGTATTTTTTAAATTAATAATATTCATAATATTCAAAAAATGTATAGATATAAGGTTCTATTTTACTATATATATATATATATATATATATATATATATATTCTACTCAGATATGCATGTTTAAAAATATTTTAATCTTCTTTTATAAAAATTTAAAGACATGAAACTTTTTTTCAAATTTTGTTTCAACATGTGTGTTTAAGTTTTAAAAGTATTTTATTTATGATTTGAAATTAATAAATATTTTTTATTTAATAAACATAAAACAAAAAATCTATTTTATAATATGGTTTTTTTAGTAATAATATAAAAATTTAATAATAATAGTAAAATTAATAATAAAAATACTAATATATCTATAAATATTTATAGCAACCTTGTGTATTTTTTTGAATATATATATATATATATATATATATATATATATATAGATAAAACAACCAAAAACTTAATATATGATATTATAAGAATTTTTAAAAATTATATAGTTTTGAAAGTATTTTTTTAATTTAAAATATAATCATTTACTTCTAATTATTATTTCTATTTATAAAGAAATCATATATTGAAGTACTTATAATTTTAGGTAAAACAAATGCATTCAAATATAATATAACACCAAGAAATCCTTTAAAACTTTATAAAAGTTTTAGATATTTCTAAAATCCATATAAATTGTTACAAAACTTCAAATGAATTAAGTGATGTGTAAATAAAGATTGACAAACACAACATGCTTTCTAGTACCACATTGCTTCTAGCACCAAATCTACCTTCTAGTGCAATACTTTAGCAATAAAAATAATAATTCTTATACAACAATCCACAAAAATTAAAGAAGAGTGAATTCTTTTTCATCTATTCTATTTTTATTCTTGACACCACAAAAAAGTAAAGAAGATAGGATTCTTGTCAAGTTAAAGACGAAGTATCTAAACATCACTAGTTGGACTATCTCTCATGCCACATAGAGAGAATCCAAGAATACAAGTGTGTAGAGAAAATCCTAAACTTTACTCAATGGCTAAATCTCCATATTTAGGCAAAATCCTACAATAAGGCACTTTCTTTCTTAAAAAGACTCACAAGATTTGACGTGATAAGAATGATAAATCAAAAGGACTTTTCCACCTAAAACCCTCAAACCCTAATTTTTACTCTAAAGGCCAACTAATATAAAACACCAAATAAATGTAAATTCTCTAAAATAAAATAGACTATATTCATTTGACATAATTTGGCACCAAATGCCACATCACTTGAAATTGGAATATTTTAAAATATTTTTTAATATTTAAAGAATTATTGTTATACACATATATATATATATATATATATATATATACGTATAATATTATTATTAAAGATACAAATTTAAACAATCTTAAAATAATACATGTGCAATCTAATAGAAAATAATTTAAAATCAAGAAGAAATGTAATAACAAATGTGAGAAGGTATTAAAATAATTATTGCTAAGTACAAAATATTAGATAGACTAAAATCAAGAAAATAATTAAAGAAAGATGTTTATAAGATTAAAAATGCCATTAATCTTACTTTTACATATACTACTTATATTATATATATATAGTTTCTAAGAACCATAAGACTTATAGATTACATGTCTAAATTGCAAGACATTCTTATTATATTTTCTTGAACATACAAAACTTCTTTGAGAAGTTTTAAGAGCCCACAAGGCCCAACTATAGATCTAATTTGCATACAAAGAATATTTGTCATGTTTATTAAGAAGAAATTAATTATTCAATTTTTTCTACTTGTTTCAATTTATCTTCAATTATTTAAAGAATACATATACTTTTCATAGTAAGTTTCTACAAACTTGTATAATTTTTTGTATATTCTTTTAAAACATTCTACAATTCTTTAAAATTTTATATAAAAAGCAATTAGGCCTTAACTTACAATATGTTGTTTACTTTTGAATTCCCACATAATAAGAAGAAAAAATAATAACATAGTTTTAGTGGTGCATATGATAAATTATTTCACAATAAATTATTATTTTTTAACAAATAAACATAAATAAAATCTTACACCTTCTGTTTAAGAAATTCTTAAAAATAAAACCTTCTAATATGTTGTATAAGGAACAAAATCAAATTAAATTAAAATTAAAAATTAAAAATATTGATGATTGAAACATGGTTTCATCAAGTTTTTGCTTCAAAAGGAAAACACTTTTAAGAATTGATTTTTAACATTTCCACTTCACATGCAAAGTTAATTGTTCAAATTAATATTGTACATTTTTAAGAATATAATTTTAAGAATACACATAATCTACACTATTTACTTTGGAGATTTATCCTTGTTCTATCTGTGTGTGTGTATATATATATATATATATATATATATATAATATAAAAATAATAGAAACCAAATATCACATGCACTTCATTCTCAACCAATAGCAACCAAGATGTGAAAACGTTGTGCATAACAGAGTGCAGATTGTACACCTAAATAAACTAATTCTAGACGAAGAAAATACAACAAAAACTTCATCTAATACCATTATGCATAGATCCCGGCCTGTTATCACATAGACCCCAGGCCCTGTTAATTCCGTTTAATGCTTTAGTTAAATATCAACTGGTGTAATTAGAGTCACCCAATTCATTGATCAAGTTAGTCATATCCTTGCAGCCTTCGATGAGTTAAAGAACTCAAATTCAAGATTAAAATTCGTTGGTAGAAAATGACTAATTATATTTCAGGATTTGTTTTTCCCAGGGACTAATATCTGAATGGCGTGGCGTTCTCCATAGCAGAGCCAGTAGTTATCTAACAAAAATTACGACTAAAACCAAGAGATTAAGAGTCAGTAAGCTTCTCTAGCTTCACCTTGGCTTCAGCAAGCCATGCACGATATGTAGCTGCCTGAAAATGAACAAAATGTACCTCCAACAATTCCCCGGCACTCTCCCGAAGTGACTGTATGGAAATCTCTGCTGCCTCTTCAATGGGATATCCATACACACCGCAAGATATGGCTGGAAAAGCAATATACTTCAATCCATTCTCTGTAGCAAGACGAACTGATTCTTTGTGAGCTTTCGCTAATAAGCTGGCTGGATTCCCTTCAATATAATAAATTGGTCCCACGGTATGGATGATCTTCGACACTGGCAATTTGAACCCTGTAAGAGCATCAGAACTTTGCGATGAGAACAGTAAAACCATAACAGGTAAACTAAAGCAAGATTTGGAGAATAAGACTTGGAAATGAAGATATCTATTACACATCGTTTAGTGAAGATTTATCACTTTCAACTTCGAGACTACAGTTGCAAGTAGAAAATTAAGATACAATTTACTTCCGATGATAGTACCAAGTTTGATGGAAAGGATTCCCTCTCAGACAACAATTTTTCTACGTGCAATTTTGAGAGAATGTTGTTGAAATTGAAACAAGTATATTCTATAATATACTACCTTTTTGATGGAGTTTCTAGTTAGAATGTTTAAGATAGAAAAGTGGTTTTCAGAGAGGAAGCTTTGAGATGTGTTATACCTGGAGTGAGAACAGCACTTCCAACTGGACAGCGGACTCCTTCTGAAATTGGAATTTTTTTGGTAGCCTCCAACAACTGTTTCCCAGCAGCTGCGTGAATCGCTCCATCAACCCCTCCCCCACCAACCATCCTCTCATTGGCAGCATTTACAATTGCATCGGTCTTCCCATCTATATGCCACTTCGTTATGTCACCACGTTGAAGAACCAGTGCGCATGATCCAGTTAAACGGAACCGCTCTCCACTCCGACTCCCTATCTCCTGCTTTCCATCATCAAGTTTTCCCTTTTGCTCCATCTTCTCACTGTGAAAAGCCGCTTGATCCTCTGCACAGAAACTTATCATCAGTTCTTGAATTACCCATGACATACCAAAATCTACAAGTGCATTAGGAGAAACTGAAAGAGACCAAATCTTCAAGAGGTGCGACATAGAAAGCGACTCCGAAGAATGATCATAAACTCTAAACCCTAGCCCCAAATAACCACAAGGATGATAAATATCTCACTGGCCAATGAACTCAAACACGTCTCATTGAGGCGCTTCTGAGAATGACACGAAGAAATAAATAAAGAAAGAAAGAAACTCATGGAAACTAATCAACTCCAAGTGATCCCAGGACCTAGTTCAAGACCTGACACGAAACGATAGAGGTGGAATACACAATACTAATACCTCGCATCGCAGCCGAACAGGACACAGTGGAGATAGGGACAATTCGACGATGTCTGATCGAAGTAGGTACAATTGTGTCAATCCCGAAAGGAATTAGTGCTCGCTCTTGCTGCGCTCTGCATGGAATGGCATCGATAAAACATGGCAACAGGTGCATGCGAATTGATCTACGAGCCACGATCGACGCCATGGCCACAGAACTTCTCGGCCCCAATCGCACTACATAGAAAGACCAAATCCAAGTTTTCTCTACATCACCATGCCCCGATCACAATTTATAGTTTCATGCTCATGTACGAAGTGAGTGAGATTTGCGGCGATTGGTGAGATAAGTTTAGCGCCGGAGCTTGAATCTTAATTGCACCTTTCAGGCAGCTACCGACACAGAACTACGTCGGTGTTTTCATCCATAAATATATCATCTGTTTCAATTTTCATCCAGCGATTCCGTGATCTTTCGTCCTAATGCCACGTCATTTACAGGGGGATGGTGGATTGATTACATCCGAATTGGTAGGCTCCGAAGATGGAATCCGTTGCGCGGGTTTAATGACGAAGAGCGGGAAAACTATTTGTCAAATCTTGTCCATCAATTGGAAATATTAATACAATTCATAGTCTTTAGTCAGTTTAGTTAGATAATTTAAAGCTTTATTTCTCTTCAATACTAAAATTTGAGGTTTAAAAATAATGTGGGTCTTTTTTAGTCTTTTACTTTGTCTTGGCACTAATATTATTATTATCCTTACATTATTTAAAGACATTATTAAAAAAACAGAGAATATAAATAATGTCTTTAGATAATGTCTTCATATTATTATTATCCTTACATGACTTATATTTTAAATAAGATAGAATAGAAATTTAATGTAAATTTCAAACCTGATAGAACCAAAGAATTTTTTTGGTTTCTCGAGATAGATTTATTTTAATTTACTAACATTTATTTATTTTGCCAAAAATTGGTTGGCCCAAAAAAAAAAAAAAAAAAAAAAAAAACGTCTAATAGCATTTTACTCCTAAATATTGGTAGAAACTAAAATCAATTATATTAATTATGAAAAGAAATACTAATCCTATTGTGTATTTTCTTTACAAATAAAAAGTTACTAAACCATTGTTCAATATCTTGTATAAATAGGTCAAAGATATAATTTTAAACCTAGAATATTTTCTAACAAAATATAAAAAAGCTACATAACCATCCACAATCCACCTTCCAAAGAAATAGAAGAGTTATTTTTTATATTTTTTTAAGCAATGTCTTTGCCAAAAGAATCAACATTTCTAAATCAATTTTGTTAAGTCTTGCTATAGTTTTAGTTTTCAAATAATATCAACATCACCTTTTGATACTTTTAAAAAACAGAGAATATATGAAAATTAGTATATTTTTTTAAAGAAATTCTACAATTTCATATCTTTAAACTAAATTAGGGTACTGTTATCAGTAGCATAGACTTAAAATATTGTCAAATTATTACGAGACTCTATATATTTCTTTTGAGTTTGTACCACAACAATTTCTGTTTCTATTGTACCAACCATGGTAATATTTTTGGGAAAAAAGCTATCATACATAATTTGAACAAAAATATTGACTTAATAGTAGATAATAGAAACAGTTTGTCTCAGATGCAAAATTGATGTACGAGCTCCCTCAATGTGAGGCACAATTCAGCTCATGATCAATGCAAAGCCATTCATCAGTAAAACCTGGCGACTCACACACTTGGTAGATCAATACAAAGCAATCCTTTACAACAGTCTCTAGGTCTGAAAAATACCTCATCCTTGTTATATAAACACATTTCTAGAAGGGATAGCAGCTTCCTTAACTACAAAAGCTCACTTCAGACTTGTGGGTCACATTTGTTTTTTTAAAAGTTTGGAAGTTTCAACATAGAAACAACAACAGAACCACTGTAGAATTCACTACATCATTCCTTACATCGTTCAGGAGTGAGACATAGCAGTGAATCAGCATGAATTAGTGGTAATCGAGATTGCACAATTTAGAAAATAATGTGATTGTCAACAACAGTTCAATTGACTATTGCTCTAGCAGAGATGGGCAGTTAGTTTCTGTGCCTAGTACCTTACATGATTGTCAGGGAATGCCTAGATTGATGTCGAGGAAGATTGAAAATACAACCACAATTAGTTATGAGCGGACTTGGCATGGTATGTGATCCGGGGTTGTTCGGCACAAAGAACGACGAGTTCACGGTAACTTTTCTTCACTCAACGTACGCAGCGGGGTTGGGACAAAATTCAACATTTTCTCTAATGGAAGTTTTTCTAAATCACGTACCACAGTGACCACCTCCAGCACATGATCTACTATCACTCCGTCCACGCCAAGAATCTTCTGCTTTTCCACCACTTCTGCTATGTTGCTGGAAATTGACCAGGATAGAAAATATCGTCAGCTTCTAACTTCAGCGATTAGAACTTGGTAGATCTATCTTAACGGTTGCTGAAGAACAAAAGTAGAGCAATTTCTGTTCGGATTTATCTGATTGAGGAATATTAGAAGTGAATTTCAAGTGACCGCAATGTCCCTCTCATTTTCTGATTGAACTTACTTGAGAACACCGTAACTGAAGAGCCAAAGGCCCACTTGTTTGACTAAGGAAACAAGAGTGGGTTCACGCAGGATCGCTCCCACTTCCGTAACTATACCTTGCAAGTTACCTGTAGAAGGATCAAGTTTACAGTTACAATGCTGGATGACTGAAGTGCCTAAGTTCAAGAGCATGCTCTAGTCACCTCAAAAAATATATGAGCACCGAAATCACTAGGTATCGTCGTTCATTAAACAGTGCTGAATGTGTGCAATATAGTAGATCAGAAAAGAGAAGTTGCAGAGGTCAATTTTAATGCAATGTCCACCCACCCTCTTCACAAACTTGAACTGCCGCTTGGATAGAGTTTCTTCGTGGATCATTGAATAAGTTGACTCCTCCATCAGTGAGGAAGAACACCTAAAAATGTACTCAGTTACATCAAAAGTAAGAACATAACGCCTTCAGGCTCCTCAGCACCAACACATGCTCCTAGCATTGAGGGTATATGTGAAAATAGAAGAATTATACGCACTAGAATTGATAGAGGCCGGTAGAACTAACCGGGTAGCTTGACTGCTCCTTCCTTAGCAGATAAACGGCGTCTGGGTTGAAGCTAGAGTAGTAGACTTTTCGCCCTTTCGCATGTTGCTTTACAACCTGCAGAATCACAGCTTCACATCATGGGTGGGAATATACGTGATCTTCGCAAGGGCGGCAACCTTCTAAGGTCACCAAGTTTCCTTTTCATAGGTGACTAGGCATATTAACTTGGGACGTTAAGAACAAAATGACGTATCGGTGTTAAAGGTCGAACTCACTTCCAAAATGGGGTAAAGAACTCGTCGCAACTCATCATCGCTGGTCTTCAAGACGTCATCAAATTTAACTTCGACGTTGAAACCCACATTCTGATCTACTTCTTCAAATACCTCTTGCAGAGTGCACAATGAATCCTCCACGGTTGCTGTCCAGATGCTCACATAGTTATCTTTCGCCTTCCTATACAGGGTCCTCCCATCCTGTCCACAAGTCCGCATTTTGATTGATGGTCTTACTCAATAATTAGTGACACTACAGTTCAAATGCCAAAATGCGTTAAATGCTGAGCTAGCCCAGTGAAGCACTGAAACACCACATTGTTCGTGTCCAATTTCTAAAAGCGATTGGACAATCACAAAACTCTTGGATGACCCTCGAATTCTCGGAAGCTTCTGATACTAATCTAATGGCCAGTGACTAGTTGGGTTCGTAGCAACAGATACCGACCTCGTTGAGCTTGAATGTTGAAGGAGATAAAGTTCATTCCTTACCGTAGATTTGTCTTTCTGAGGTCCGCAAGCAAGAAACTCCTCTAATGAAAGCTCCCCAATCTTCCTCGACACCTGCATTGAACCGCTGCGGCATAAGAAATCGCTAGTCGTTTTGAATGTATAGTGATGAAGGAAGTCACATCTTGACGCATCTCAGTAATCTTTCTATAAACGTCAGTGCTCGACAATGCTTTTTTTCTGCAACACAGGCTCCACGTAGTTGGCAATACCTTATCTTCAAGAATAATGTAGTCATCGTGGAAAATGATGGGATGTCCATCTCTAGTCACCTGATCAAAGCTCCCACATTTTTGTTTCAGCAGTAAAAATTTGAACCGATCGAATCGAACACCGTATTCGCTGTAACGACAGCTTCTCTATTGCCAGAATAGTAGTGGGGGTGAGCTAGGATATATCGTTTAGTCCAGGCAAGCTGGACATCTTGCAGTATGAGACGAAATTTTTTAAGAGATTATGCATGGTTGTGTTGCACTCAGAAACCTGAACATCGAATTCGACAAAACTAGCTCCAAACTTGGAAGCTGTGTTAAAAGAGTTGATAGTGTTTTCCCGAAAGGAGGGTCGTTCGTCAGGAATCTCTCCTTGCAGAAGAGTTCTGTTCTTTCCATTTCCGCGATGGCCAATGACAATCATCCTGCTGTTATGATGTCCTGGGATCATGCCTGTGGAGGCACCATGTAACGTCTCAGAAGATCAAATGAAACTGAATGACTTAAATTGCAAACGGCGAATCTCTAAGTAAGGTTCATCAAAACGCGTAAATAAGTCACAATCTATCGTGAATGAAAACATTTTCAATGACTTGCCATTCAGAAGACACACGACAGAGTCCAAGCTATAAAGCGAAGGGAATGAACAGGGTAACGTACATCCCAACAGCTCTCTCCCACAAGCCAATTAAAGAAAAGCATACAATGTTTTCTTCCTATATGTCACAAAATAGCAATAATTCTACCCCGAAGAGAGTCCTTTGAATGGCGAGATACCTGCAAAGATATCTTTGAAGGAAGAGCTACCATCACTTTTATTCTTCACGAAGGTTGTAGAATCAGAAGTAGATGGAGCAACATGCCCAGAAGCCGATTGTGGCCCTGATGAAATTGTAACCTTCTCTTCCATTGCAACTGCGAAAAGAAGTCATTGGCATCTTCATTATTGCTAACCAAAATTCGGTGTACAGAATGACCACACTACCACCTGAGCCATCTGGGCCAGTCAAATAAAATAATCCCAGAACTCTTTCCAGGAAAATAGATCGCTATGGTTATCACTTTTGGGGCATACAAAGGCTGCGTTCACAAAGCAGTGCAACACAAAATGTCGTAACGCATCTAATCTCATCTGACCTCCTGCAAAGTTAAACGGAAAGAAATGTTTTCATCAGACCCACTCACTGAACTCCTGATCAAGTGTCAACATCCTAAGAAAACAATTGCTATCAGAATGAAATTATTCTGGGATCCTTGAAAAGCCTGGGAAGATATCTTTACCGATTTCAACTAATGGCCGCACCCAAATTCACTGCCTAATCAATCCCCACGATGCCTTAGATCGGTAGCAAGAATAAGTGATGCTAGGCAGCAACAATAACTCTGGCCAAATAGGCATCAAGTCATAGTCATGTACACGAGAGCGAAAGAGAGAACATTCAAAACAATTTCGTACCCCCGATCAAAGTTGCAATCCTTTTTTCAGTGGCAAACTTGTTTCGATCCAAATTCTCTCTCACTACAGTAACTTCACAATCCAGACCAAAACATCAACCCCGGAGGCGTCACAAGACCATTCATCACGATCACACTCAATTTACTCTCAGTTCATAAGAAGCCGCATTACCCTCCCTCAACAGCGGCACATTGGCGGTGACAAGGGGAAGAGACACAAGAGGAGTTTGTTATTGAAGCGCTTCGATGCGAGGCCGTTTTACTAAATTTCATGACTTTCGTGATCCAGAGCGCAGTGCACCATATTGTTACACCGTTCGGACACCAACGGAATCATCCTCAGCACCTTACAGCATATGCGAAGAGATCCCCAAGGGAATATGCCGGTGGAGCCAGCACCAACACGGCACTTTTCCAAGCAGAATGATAAACATGCTTCGGGATGCTGTCCGGAAGGAGGTGAGCAATATCATCGAAAGTAATCGCGTACCCTGTTGCAGGATTCATGTCATCACTGTAACATCCATGCTTCTCCTTCCCAGTCTTTCCCCCTTTCTCCTGGCCCCTCTGATCATGATCTGGTATGCCGCACAGTCCAATATCAGCGCAGCCACTTCCTCGTTCTTGACTTCCCTTACTCGTCAAAGCCCTTGCAATTCTCACGCCTGTCCTTTCCTTTCCTTTCCAACATCTTGATCTCATGACCGAGGATACGCATCTGCTCTCATCGAGGAATAACTCAATTTACACTTGCGAGTTGTGAATGTGTCACGAAAGTGCATCGATACGATTCATCTTTTGCGGTTCGCATCCCCCTCAAATCAGGTGCACCCAACTGAGACCGAATTGTGGCCATGGATCCTAAACCTACAAAAGCAAAATGATTGGCAGTCTAGTTCATCATAAAGGCGAAGCTCTCTGCCATGTCTGTAAGCATGGAACCGAGGTAGATTCTCCCTGACAGAGTCACTTAATGAATAGGTTGCATGAGGTCTATTCACAAAAAAAAACTGGGCAGTTACCGGATACTACCTACTCTGCATGCCTTCCTGCAAAATAATCAGCAAAATCCCATTCCGAGAGACTCTGAGGCCATCGCGGAGCTTCCAGGGAACTCTTCTCACTTTTCCACAGCGATTCGATCCAGCGACTCCTCAATGACCCGAAGAAACCTCCTCCGTTACAAGCTGCCCAAACAGAACACCCGAATGGCCATAACACGAGATTCGCACATTCATCTTCCAGGCGTGATATCGGATGCATTGCTCCACAGTGCTCAAATCAGCCACCCGTCATGAAAATCCATGACGTAGCTCACATTTGGGTCCATCGGCACACTTATCGAAGTACTTAGAAACATCAAAAAACCTTAGAGAAAGCGCAACTCTCTCCCCTTCTTCCCTCCTCATGCCGAAATCAACTCTACACCGACGCCGCCTCCCTTGACTCCCTCCTGTCAAGAGCTCTGCGAAATGACGAATTTTGTGCACACAACAACGTGGATTGTGCTGAGTAGCTGCCAAAAGCGTTTCGTGATTTCACCGCAATCAGAGCAAATCCTCACAAAGTGAAACGGTTGTTGTGTTTACCTCATTCTCCTCTCGCAATGGCTCGAAATACCATTGCGACGTCGCACCGCGTCGTCGTCCTCGTCCCCGAAACCAAACCATGGCTCCATGAAGAAGCACGCAAGCAAGCATTTGATAGTTAATCTAAAATATATTATAACTATCAAGCAAGCTTTATTTTTTTATTTTTATCTCTATCATGCCTTCAATGGATTGATATTTAATCTAAAATATATTATATTTTTAAAATAAAAAACATCATTATCTAATTAATTATATAATTTATCTCTTATAAATTTCTACTTCAATCTCTTGTAGAATTATATATTGGTCTAAATTATTTTTTAAGTGAATTTAGTTCAATTATACTTCATTTTTTCATACCTTTTTATTATCTTGAGATTATATATATATATATATATATATATATAAGTATAGATTAAAATATTTTAAATATTTTAAATTTAATAAAAATATCTTTAACAAATAGGATTTGCTTACATAAAAGAACTTACCAAAGTTCTAAACATCTTGGACTAGTGATGAATTTATCAATTATAAATATAGTCTAATATCAAATTCTATTTTTATGGAGATTTTTCCTAAATCCATGCAAATTTTATTTTTTATTTCTTGATTCTAAAACTTACATAATAAAGATATATTATTACTAATTTATATTTTTAAGCATTAATTATTATTCTATATTATCAAAAGAGTTATATTTCTTTTTTATTTTTTTAATATAAATCAAAAATTGTGTTGGTTAATACAAAAATATAACATCTAATAGCTCTTTATATTTTATAGTGTTTAGATACTAAAAGATTGTTAAATTTTGAAGATGATATTTACCTATTTATAATATGGTTGCATATTGATTTAAGAGATATTCATCATAATTTAGAATTTGAAATTTTCTACTTATTATGTGAAAATGGTTTTCATTAGCCTATAAATTTTACATACATATTTTTTTTATACTTGTGAATTTAGATCTTTTAATTAGAAAATATATTTCAACAAACAATCTTGTACGAATTTGTATAATGGAATTCAATCTTTTAAATTTAAAGGTTTTAAATTCTTTCATAATTAATATTACTACCTCTATAAATAAGATGTAGTTAGATGTGTTAAAAAAATTGTAATATAAAATATTTATATTCCTTTATATCTTATGAAATATTTTATTTTTATATAATAAAATTTTAAAAGTTTTTTTTATTCTCTTTTAATATAATTTTTACTAACATACATATTTACCTAGATTAAAGAAGTAGATAAAAGTACATAGAAGTAAGTAGGTTTGATAATATCTTATAGGGTAGCTACTTATAAGCTTCTTGGATAGAAATTTGACTTTATACATGTTTGTAGGTGATTTTTAGGTTGAAAATTATGTCCATAAATTGGCCACTTCTCACACATGTTAGTGACTTGTGCTACAAGTTGGTCACATGGAACACATATAAGAAACTTATCTTACAAATTAGACACATGTCTTGTAAGTTAGACAAGAGTTGAAGGACTTATAAAACATTGCCACATAACTTCTATTCAGATAGTATATATAGAGATAAGAGTAAAGTCTTTTTTACTCTTGTCAATGTTTTTCTTAGTCTTGCTTTAAGAGCCTTTAGCCTTGTCTTTGGCAATAACCATTACAGTTTAATATAATACTATCTTTAAGTAATTATCTACTCTTTTTAAATGACACATGAGTATATTGATCATTTAATACATTGTGATTAATGTCTTTGACAATAATATTGTTGCTCTTTATTACTAATGAGATTTTAAAATATTTTGTAATATAGATACTATCACAAAAAAATAATTTTAAATTTTCAAAATATAATTGAATTTTTTTTTTTAAGATAATCAACTGAGTTGGTTTAAGTTTTTCTAATTGTAAATTAGTTCTTTGAATCTCTATTTTTATAATAGTTTTAAAAAATAGACTAAATAATATTTAAAAAATATTTATAGAGTATTTACTAAATTTTCTATATATAAAGTCAACTTGTAAAACCAAGGCTTCTTTCTTTAAAAGAATTTTAACTTATGTGTAATATAACTTTAGATTTAGTTAGGTATTAGCTGTTGCTTTATAAAAATATTTTTTAATTTATCTTTTTATTTTATTTATTTTATTTTTAAAATCTAATCTGAATGTATAAAAGATAAAAAGTAAATATATACATATATATATATATATATATATATATATATATATATATATATAACATATTTTTTATAATTATCTTTCATGTTACAGTAATTTTTATGGATCCTTGATAATTAATATATATATTTTTTTTTAATAAAAATTAGTTAAATTTTTTTGTGTGAATTTTATAATATAATTGATTACCAAAAATTTTAATTTTTTTTAATAAGTATCCTTATTGCATCTCTTTTTTTTAATTAAAATCTATATATTGAATTACCATTTATAAAAATTATTGTTTTTATTCTTTTATATGATACTTGAATCATTTCTAAAAAATGATCATTGAATCTAAATCTCATAATGGTATTAAAGTAAAAAATCTAAAAAACTCTTTTGTAAGCTTTTGGTAACATTTAGTTTACAAGATGTTATAGTTAGTACCATTGCTTGGTCTAATATATGGTCATTTATGTTTTTAATATATTTTTAAAAATTAATCAAGGTGATATATATATATATATATATATATATATATATAGATAGATAGATAGATAGATAGATAGATAGATAGATAGATAGATAGATAGATAGATAGATAGATAGATAGATAGATTTAGGACATCTATGAATACTACTTATAAAAAATATATATATTTTTAAAAATATTTTATGTAAAGTTTTAAGCTTGATTAAAAACATATAAATATTTAATCTTCTTTTTCATATTTTCTTGTGCAAAAATATAATTTTTCCTTTAATTATATTGGATGAAAATTTAGTTTTAAATAATTCTTAGTTAACCATGTTTAAATAATTCTTTCTAATTACCTCTCAATATTATTAAATGAACTATACACCAAATCCATCTAGAGTTGGAATTTTTTTTCTTTGCTATGTTTTTAATTACTTATTAACATTCTTTTAAAAGTAAATTTTTGATCAAATAATTTTTATTTATTTAATAAATTTTAAAGTACTAATTCTGGTATGTTTATAATTAATTTTACTAAAATTTGAAAAAAATCAGGCTTTGTATAGTTTTTTTAAAAAAAACTTTACATACATTTTCTAAGTAGACTTGGCTATATGTTTTTTGTTTGTTTGTTTGTTTGTTTTGTTTTTCTTGTTTTTTTTTTTTAAAATATTCCGAATATAAATGATTCAAAATTTCTTTCTTTAATTTCATTAGAAATTTTGTGCTCAAATCTCTCTATGCTTAAATCCTACTTTCAATTAGATTTTACATCCTTATTTCTAATTTTTAAATATTGTAGTTAGTTCATAGAATTTTTAAACAATTTTTAGATTTCTTTATCTTCAAAGTCGTATTAAAGCTTAGAGTAATCTATTTCTATTCTACTTTGAATTTTCATCTCTTTCTTTATTCTTTGATATGTCTGGTCTTTGCAAATTAATTTATAAAATTTAACAAAGTAAAAAACAAATCTTTTCATAATAAACAATGTTCTTGGAATTTATTTGAAACATATTGGTTTTTTCATATGTTTTCTAAAGAGATATTGTAATATAACTCCTAATAAATCATTATCTCTAAGATTTTTTACATTATCTATTAAATTTTTAACATAAAAGAAAATTATGATGAATTCACTTCTATTCCTTGTTCCATCTTGAATTTTTGATATATCCAAGGACTACATTTAATATATAAAATCTTATACCATGCTACAACACAATATTTAGCATATGTGTTTTCTTATTGTAGAGCTTATATTCTCGAAGTATTAAAATGTTATATCTAGGTTATAGACTATTTAGATAGATTTAATAGTTGTAAAATTTTGAAGTGTCATTTAAACTTCTAATATCATTTTTTTTTTAAAATAGTTATATCTAAATAATTGAAAAAATAAAATAAATCTTTAAGTTGTCATTAATTGTCTTTTAGGTGAACTTCATTTCTTTGTCATTTAAAATTTAAGCCAATTATTCTTATTTTTAAATAAAATAGGTAATATTAGTGAAGTCCATTATATCCCATTGCAATGTAGTAAAGTTTCTATTCCACCTCCTAATAGTGAATCATTCAAATCAAACCAAGTGTATGTGAATGTTTCAAAAGTGGTTCCAAGTCTTATTAGTGTTGTCTTATTTTAGATATTGACATCCTCGACTTGCAACCTTTCAAAAGAACCTCTTTGTTATGATTGAATATTATTTTTTCTTATGTTACAATTATTGAATTAGACTTATTGATATCAATTCAACCCTCAAAGAAGTCTAGTTTCAACTAATTTGTGGAAGGCTTTGTTGTTTGTAGTTCATCATACTCTAGATTTAATCCAATAGATATTCATCTATATATATATATATATATATATATACATACATACATACATACATACATACATTAGTAAATTTGGAAAAAATACAATAATACAATAAAAAATATTTTCTATGCAATGACTTTTATTTCTTTATTTTCTTTTACTGATATTATTTATTTTCTCAGTATATATTCTACAAATTTCATTGCTTACATAACGTTTTTGAATTTTCATGTTTTATTTCATTTCAAATATTGTTAATGGATATCTTCAAATTTTAATTGAAAGTGTCCTGATGGTTTGCTCAGAGTTTAAGTGTGCTTAATTTTAATTTTATGTTATTTAAACTAAAATAGTGGTTTTAAATTATTTAAAAAAACACACACACACATTAAATTTATCAATATAAATTAGAATTTTTTGCATTTGAATATCATCAAATATAAAATATGACATTGATGTATATTTATATTGCAATATGTACAATAGTAATGAACATCATTTTTTCAGATACCATCTCTTTATGGTGCTTTAGCTTAGGTTATTTTTTCAATATTATTTTAAAAGCTAAAGATAACTCCAGTTTTTTATTTATTTATGAATACATTAATTCACACTTAAATATAATTAAAAAAAAAAAAAAAAAAAAAAAAAACTAAAGAATCATACCAAGTGATATATATATATATATATATATATATTCATACATATTCATGATGTATTTTTGAAGTTATTCTATTTTATATCAATTAAGTTTATATTTTACAGAACAATGTGTGATACCTTAATAAATAAAGCTATCAAACAAGTTGTGGAATTCTGAATGTGTTGGATATTAATAGATTTTTAAAGGCATTCTATTTTACAGAACATTGTGTGAATTCCAATGTTCTGGATATATTAACTCATTGGACCTTTGAGTATAGACAAGGGTCATGGGCAGAACACGCAGTGTGAACACGACCCTGCCATATGCTGACGGGTCCGCCTACGGCGCCGGGAAAATCCTAGTTAGCGCCAGATCACACAATTACAATGATGAGTTGGCACGCAAGGGTCCGATAGCGAGTCACAGCACCGCTAAAGTTAGCCGAGTCATTTCCCGAGTTAGTTACGCTGACGTCACCAGCACCTCACTGCTGGGCCATTTTAGGGCTACTCTAAGAAAATAACAAACGGACAACTTCAGCTTTTTTATGAGGACTAGAGGGGAACGCGATTGAGAACCGGAGGGAACTATAACCGGGAAAGGGGGTATAACCCAGGTAGCGGGAGGGGCTTGTGCCTTCCGTTTCGGCCGTGCCCCGCATCATGTCCCAACGGTCTTCCAGGCGCGCGTCCGCCTCGTCCCCCGATGTCGTCGTCCAGGGGAGCTTTGAATTGTGGTTATGGCTGTGCCTTTGAATTCCTCTTATCACCCGCCAGCATTGTAGCTTTCACCCTGGGCCTCAAACCTCCTCACTGCTCTGTTTGTGTTTGTGTGGTAACTGTCGGCTTGTTTTTGTTGTGGATTGTAGCCGTTTCGTTATTTGCTTTCCTGTTATCTCGTGCCTTCAAAACTTCGTTAGGTGTGATTGGGCGAGTTGAGGAGAGGAGAGGGCTGTGGATTTGTTTAGGATTCGTGAATGGGGGATTGTTCGGGGGTTTAGGATGCAGGTGAATCGAGCGTGAGTTCTTTTCGGTGCTTGTGATGTGATGGTTAGCTGTCTGGATTTCGGTATTCCAGGTTGTGTTGGTGCAACGTCCAGTGCTTTGTTGTCGAGGTAGGGCTGCCTTCGTGGCAAGGAGCTGTACCAGGTTTGCTGAACGGTGCCAGAGAGTGTGAGCGCCCTGTTGCGAAGAGAGTAGTTTTCTGGTCCCCGGTGGCGGGACGAAGCAACAGGGCGATGGGGTGGCTGTGGGCGTGTCTTGGAGGTGGACCTGAATTCCAGCCGAAATTGTGCTCTGACAAGTCTTCCAGAAGCTCGAAATCTCACCGCGTGAGTGCCACCACTCCCTTAATGCCTGGTGCGTTCGAATTTAGTGACGTGAGATATGAAAATTGAGACCAGAAAGTGGCATACTGCGAACGTTGGAATGTGTGGAAGTTGGCAATGAATGTGGAATCTGCGTACCTGAATTTCGTGCAAATCTCTCTTACGATTTCCTTGGTATAAAAAAATTTCGTTTTCGGTAGTTACTATGTGATCAATCTTCTTAGCTATCAGGTGCTCGTCAATTGCAAATAGTATCAGACAACGGAAATCATATCTGCTATCGCAGGTTACTATTAATTTATTCAGGATGTTCCGGGATGGTTAGTAGGGGCTCGAGGATTGAGGGATCTTCTTGATTTCTGTTCTGTAGTTATGATCAGCTTGGAGGGCTCAAAGAGAACTGGATTGATGAACACGCTACTCGGAAGTAGAAAAGGAGCTTCTCCCGTCTGTTAAAGATCTATTTCATTCATTTAAATGAGAAGGAAACCATAGACCAGCGGACAAGATCGAGTACTGTGATTTTCTAGTGAGGGTCTGAAAATAAGAAAAAATATTAGTTTTCTACCTGTCTGGCCTTGCTTAAGAAAATTTTCGTTCTCAGCAGCGAAATGTAACGCGCTGCTCTATGCCCTATGTCATTTAGTAAACTTCAACAGGGGATTGTGAACTTTTCCTATTGCATTTTCACTCGTCCTGTAAAACGGAAGATCACTCGAAGCGCCTCAGGTATACTGCTTGTTCTGAGAATTGCCGCATTTGTGCAGGCGAGAATTACTAACCAGCCGCACAACCTCAGACTTCATCCGCTGCCTGCTCAACTTCCCAGACATGGTTTGGCTTCTCCTTCTTGCTGCCCTTTTGTGCTCTTCGTTGATTGAGGTCTCCCCAAATCCAAGGAGTTTCGTCATTAATGTACACATCTGAGTTTTACGTCATGGGTCCCCTTGTTCTTGGGTCCAGGGTATGGGGATTACGAGCACCCCCATTTGCAGGTAGCGTCACGTACGGGTAGGTGCGGTGATCCTGAAAACATGGAGCAATTTAAAATACCTATCACCTCCGTGAACACTTGTATCAGCATTAACACTCTCAAGAAGGCTTCTGAGAGAAGCTTAGAATCAAGCTTCAGAAAGGAATTCGGAATTGCGAGGCGCTCGGACGTGGATGAATTGAAGGAAGAGCTTGCTGAACTTCGACGGAGACTTGCTATTGAGGAGGCTGAAGCCAAGAAACTTAGGGAGGAGGTAAATCCTAAGCACACGTTATGCATGGACAACATTGCTGCTGTCTGATTGTAGTAGCGGTATCGTACCTTCAACAGGAAGCTGTCATGTGAAGTCTCGGTCCCCCAACCCTTCCTACCTCTACGAGAGAGAGAATTAATTTGATTCTCGTATGGGAAGTTTATCTTAAATAACTGTCTTTGTACATGTGAATTTCGTGCTTCACCAACCACAGCACCTGAACCTGACCAGTATATTACCTCTAACGCAGCCTACCATGTCTCTATAACGAAACCGGGACGCTTGTGTGATGCAGGTAAGCCATTTGCGGTCGTGTGGTGTGTTGCAAAAATCAGAGGGTGCTCCAGATGAACGAACTGATCAGAAAGTCCATGGCAAAGATAGTCGTTATGCACTAGACTATGCTGATGAAGATGAGAAGCCATATCCAAGTGACCTGGCGCCCACGAAACAGCTACGGAAATGTTTCTCTGGACCTATGCTCTTTGACGTACAGTCGAATATTTCCAAAGACGGGTAGGAATCATCCTCTCAGAGTAGTATACTGTGACCAAATCTTGTTGCTTGTAACTAGCATTCGACGGGAACTGACCGAGGGATAGGGTTGTCTATGTAACGTTACATGTTGTCAACACTGCATTGTGAATTTTTTTTTCGTCAACTGGCCCTTCAATGCGTAGCTTCTTATCTATGCAGTTTGGAGTCTGGTGCCATGGTACTGCATTCTTCCCAAGCTCGCATATCTTCCCATCGAGTAGGACTTTCTCCGAAACCACTTCCCTTCTCTCAGGGATCACAGAACATTCAGTCTGAAGTAACACACCAGATTAATCGCCAGGCGGAAGAGGAAGTTTCTGGAGCGAGGTCCATCTCGAAGTCATCAAAAGTAAGCCTTGCGAGTAACCTACAGCAGTATCCGAGTAGGAAAGTTACGGCTTGGACGAGTTTGGACGCTTCTGCAGATCAGGTCAGATTTCATGGGAGTTCTTGTTCTGGTTGCTTAGCACAGTTCAGGAACAACGATATGTGTCTCTTAAGTACTTTGTCCTACTGAGCTCTCTTGAGACTATCTTTAAATACTGCCTTATTATCTATGATTTCAGGACCATTGCGAAGGAAAGGCTAGAGATTTAGTGATATTAGATTCCATGGACATGCATTGGATTGAGGTTGCAAATGCACCTTGCTCAAGCGGCTTCTCCACTAATGTTAAAGGTGACGTTAACGATCCTAGAGATTGTGCCGAATCTCCTCGAAGATCATTGCGAGCTGCGTCGACCGGGATGGAAAATTCGATAAGAAATTCTCAAAAGTCTGGAGGTAAGCGGCGCCAAAAATCTCGCTCTGGGCTCGACTTCCAACCTTTCGAGAAGCGATCCAAAGATTTGACGCTAGCCCTTAGAAATCAACCCCCAGCACCAACCTCTGACCAAGTGGAGGTGCAACTCGCCCAAGCTCTTGCCGCATTCAAGGAGCAGAGGCGAGAGTTGGAAGCCAAGCACCAATCATTTAGCCGAGGTTCAATGTCTTCATCCATGGCAACGTCAAAGGGTGCCGTACCTTCTAATGCAGGCCCCATGGTCGGCTTTTTCCGCAGTACACGGAGGAAACCACACGCTCTCAGAAACCGTGGGTTTCACCATAGGTCCCTCTCACCCGTAGAGGAGGCCCAGTCCATTGAAGAGATTGCCTGGAGTAGGCAGAGTACCAGCAGCAAGAAGGAATCTGAGTCTGCTTCCAAACCAGACGACTCAGCAGGCGCGGAAGTCATCGGGTCCAGTAGATTCTGTAACTCTGTGGACAAGAGTAACCGGGACCTGCAGCGCAGATTAACTATTGAGGATATCCCCGTAGCAGAACCCTCATCAGTTCCGCCACATGCCACAGAACAAAGTAATACATTAGATGATAGACCCGTCGCTATCGCGGAGCATATTGCCATGGTGCCAATCCAGTGCGCGTCGCCTTCCCTCTCACCGCGGAAAAGGCCAGCATCAGCCGCGCTAGATGCGTTGGTTACGGTGACGGGGACAGCAAAGACTGGAGCCGAGGGTAGGTACAACGTGGAAGACAGTGCGGATGGACTCCAACCTGAAGCAGACTGGATCCACCGAGCTTGTGACTGGGATGAAGAAGATGACGATGGTACCGAGCACATCAAACCCGTTGAATGTGCCTCGCCATCTTTCTCGCCTCGGAGAAGGACTTCGAGAGGTCCCGTCTCGCAGTCAATTATCTTGGATCCTAAAGACTCCTCGCCCCGAGTGCCTTCTTCAACCGAGTTCCTAGAAGCAAGCTTCTTAAAGGCTAACTCACCAAGTGTTACCTTCAAGTCGCCTAGCCAGGAAAGGCTCGTTAAGACCCCGAGTCCCTTGAAACAGTACAGCCCTAGTCCCTTGAAGCAGTGTTCCCCTAGCCCCCTTAAGCAGTGCTCCAGTAGTACTATGAATGAATGTACCCCGAGCCCGCAAAAGCACAACAATGAACGAAGCTGGTATTGTGACGCAATAGAAGCTATTCAAAGCATCAATGACATACGAAGCTTCAAGGAGCGGCGCTTACTCACTGAGTCGGTTTCTTTGGGGAGTTCTCCCGTCTCGAAGGAGAAGACTCAGCGCCAAGCTGACTGTCCACGCCCTCCTCATGCTTTTTCAGCGGAGAAAAAAGCCCTGAGACGAGCTTTTTCGTGGTTCGCCTCTGAGCATGACGAGCGCGTGAAAACGATCGGAACGCTGGAGAGGCCACCGCAGATTGGAAGCGTAGGAACTGAGAAGGGGAACGACATTGGAGGCACTACATCGAGGTTGCCTCATGATGTGCGAAACAGAGACACTTTGCAGAGGGTTGAGACATGCGGTAGGCAACAAACAGACCCAGGCATCAAAAGAGGTGAATGTTTCCTCTGCACTACGTACTTCCTATCTCTTGATTTGTTCAGACGTCCAGTTTGATTATATATGGGGATGTTTCGCTCCTTGCATGTGCAAGACTGTATTTGGTTCCCAATATCTGCACACATCAATGTCGCTAACATCAGAATTTGGGGTGTCCTAGGTGGTGTGTTGCATATCAGGAGATTCTCAGACTCAGACAGTGGTGGCTCGGGGTCGGCTACGTTCTCCATAGACCTGACTCAAGGTGATAGCTCCAGTCAGAATGAGGGCGAATGTGGCGCAGGTGATGTTAGGGGGAGCATCAACACAGGTGCTTCGTTCTTGCGAGAGAGAGTAGATAAGGAGAATGTAGCAGCCAGGGTTGGCCTGGTTCCTAGCAAGAATAGTATCTTGCGAACTTCAGATCAATCGCTATCATCAAGTGACTCAACTAACAAGTATCCAAGGTGTTCGCAAGACAATGCGACAATATGTGAGAGCAGACCTATTCTAGGGTCGGTGCCATTCAACCACTGGGACAAAACTCCGACAGGTCCGCGTACTGAGGTAAACTAGTAACCCACTTGAGAGGGCTAGGATGTTAATGAATTGAAGTTTAATGCAACATCCTGCATTGCAGGAAAGAGATAGTAGCTAATGGTTGATCTGAACTATTCGAGATGCTATGTGCTAACGAAGGAGGTTATTTCGGGTGCACAACAGGAATCAAGAGTTGAATGGCAAGCAGCGGCTAAACCCTCATATAGGTACTACTGAATGACGGTGTGGTCCACATAGCATACTAGAGAAATAATTTGGGACTGCCACGTTTTGGATCAGTATTATAGATCCAGGTCCCTTCAAATCACGCTCCAGGTGAAATCCTTCTTCACTGTGTCGCCTGAGGCTGGGAATGTGCAGCTCCATGAGATAAACGCAGACATTGGTATGTCAGTCTGATGCGGATAGTAAGAAGTACATGCCCCTTAGCAGGAGAAATGTGAATGTTTTCCTAGATTAATGTACATAATTCTCTGGTTGTACTTACCTGAATTGGCAAAACAAAAGTTTTATCATCAAGGACCAACCTTGTTAATATACAATTACTACTTGAGAGGCATATTTATCAGGTTAAGTGTCAAAGATTCAGGTGATTCGGGCTTCTGCCCTAGTTGACCTTGTCATTTTCCACATGCGATTGCAATGAGATAGTACATACAAAGAGAGTAATGTACAGAGTGTACCAAGTGCCATGGTTATCAATAAACTAAGTTACCTGAAGATGATATGAAATTGATATTTTGAATGTGGAAAGCTTGGTGATGTTATATGGTGTGAGCTCTTTGGGGCTATTTCGTTGTCTAAAATAAAGGTGTGAAAATCTAAGTTACTCAGTCCGTCGTTCTACACAAGGAACCGGCAACATTGTAATTTGTTCAAGTTCACGATTAATGACAACTACTGACTGTTGTATTCTAGTAACGACTACCTGCACTCGCTTGGCTAAAAATGATTTGAATCATCAATTAACTACTCGAATGTTGGATTATAATTTATTGCATATATGATCCGTTCGAATGTCAATTACAACGTTCGTTGAAACTTCCTTATGTAACAATGCAAGCAAAAAGTTAGCACTGATTATTACAACTACCACTCATTGACAGGCTAGTAAGGCGAAGGACATTGATCTGTAAACTCGTCATTAGCACACTGAAACTAGTACAAAACAATTTGGCTTTCTGTTATAGTGGGATAATTAAATAATAACCTAAATGTTATTATAAAATTTGAGTTGTTAACATGATAATATTAATAATAATAATAATAATAATAAATGCCAATTGCTACATACGAAACCAATCCAAGGCAAGGAAATTCTTGGTCGCAACCAAAACTTTACTCAAAGTGATGTAAAAAAACAAAATGAATTAATGAATTAAATAGCTAAAAAGGTAGCATTAGACAGAAATTAAAAGGAACTAAGTGTAATTTATACTGCTCAAGAAAGTTATAACAAGCATTAAACCATTATTAAACAGAATAAAAAAATTCTGATATAAATACTCGTGTTCAGATAATAAAAAGCAATAAATTTGCAATCACATGTCGAAAATAAAATGAGATAGAAATATATTTAAAATATAATGGTTGTAAATATATTTCTACTTATATGTAAATATTATGTAAATATTAATTATTTAATTTTAATAGTAATAATTGTCATAATATTTATTTTCTAAAATCAACTTAAAGAATAAAGAAGTATTTTTGATTGATCCATTACTCAAGGGAAGCTTCAATTTGCTTCACTTATGGCATATGCAAAATATAATGGGAATAAAATTACTTTAATCAATAGTAATCATGTAGTTTTTACCTACCATATTAAGAACTGCTAGGTAGACACCCCCACATAAGATAACTAATTTTGATTGAAATCATAAATTTTGGTATATTTATACCAAAAAATTGATGTATCCTTATCTATTTATATTATAGAATTTCATATTATTTTCAATTTTTTATGCTTGTACTTTTATATCAAATCAATTATTTTGTATAAATTCTTTTCAATAATAACAATAATAAAAGGTAATTTAATCTATTAAAATCAATCTCAAAAGAAACGAACAAAGATTTTGTTACACAAAGTTTTACATTTTAAAATGAAATAAAAATATTTCATTTATAAAAAAATCACAATTTTTTATCATATCCTTAAATAGAAAGCTCTTAAACCTTGTTCATTTGAATGTATTACACAATACACTACCATAAATAATAACTATCAATGTTTTTATAAAGAATAACAAGTTTTGTATTAGCAAAAAAATCATACAAGTATACAAAAGAATTTTTTTTCTAACCAAATATTATTTGTGTTCATCTTGAAATACAAAACTTTAAGTAATGAATTTGCATAAAAATTGTTGCAACCTTTTGTGAACTGTTGGTATGTTTTCTTATAAATTACCAATTGTACTAGTATTTACTAATAAATATATACATGATTTGTGATAAATGAGAAATTAGTAAATGTTTGATTTTTACAAGAAATAATTAATTAATAAATACGAGATAAATCTTGTTGTGAAAACGATGAAAAGGTTTTGATGTTGCAAGTAAATATAGTACACAGATTCCATTATCAACATCTCATCATAATAATAATAATAATAATAATAATCAAAGACAGTAGCAAACCCAACAGAATTGTATAGTTCTTTTCTTAAAAAGAAACTCGCTTTATTAAAGAAAGACACAGTATAGGCTACAATGCCAAAGCACACCAAAAACAGTAGCTATATGTCAATACAATAAAGGATATCGACTAATATCTCTCAATCATCAAAACAGTTTTAAGTCACTAGCAGGGAAATAAGAAATGGGAAATTGACCCTGGGGCTGAAGCAGTAGTGAGCGAAGTTCTTTCCTCTGAAGCTAAAACCATGGCAGACCTCTACGGACTGAAAATGTACACACCCCCTGTTACTAATAGAGATGGCCAAATTCTACAACTAAACAGAAAGTATTTAGAAATGCAGATATCGGTGAAGTTGGACTGATCGACACAGATTCCTGCACTGAAGCTATTGAAACCTATTGACTGATAGTTGCCATGTGGCCCCAAAAAACTAGCCAGCATGACATCAAGCGTATTAATATCAAATTGTATAGCAGAGCCATGTCAAAAACAAATGGATGCCCACTTTCGCTTATAGAACTTTTTCCATTGCAAGGGACGCGCGAAGTTGTTTATTTCATCGAAGCAGCTCCGGAAACGATGACTGCTCGACCTCCAGCGAGAAGATCTTCAGGAACTTCAGAAAGTTATCCAGTAGCTTGGGCAGGTGAGGACTGAACCACCTATAGAACCCCCAGATTTTTCTCTCGTGTTTGTTGACCAACTCCATAGGGTGAGCTTGTGAAGCCACCGCACGTAGGAGACGGCAATTCTACACTTGAACGGCCAAATCTTGGTTCCTACACAAGCAAAAACCAGAGCCACTCTACCCAGTTAGAGCACATCCCTACACATACCAAACAGTGGCAAGCAATTCTGTGCATCTGTATTGCAAGAGTTCCAATGGTAAAACATGGTCAACACAACAATTAATAGTTGAGGTTGTAAGTATTAACATCCTACCTTGTGAAGGGAGGTCACTTCACCTCCTCGCCAGTTGCATTCGGCCGATGGACAGGTCGGAAGGAAAATTTCTCGTCATTGTATGAGGCACTGGGTTTGATAAGCTTAAAAAAAACAGCTCAAACCAGCAGTTTCTTGCGACATTGTGAGGCTGCAATCCCGTCTAGAACTAAACGAAGTAGATGAAGAGAGCTAACCATGAGCCTCAAAAAGTTGGCACGATGGTTGCAGATTGTTTCATTCTAAAGGACTGGAACTCCATGGTGGTATAACTAATGCATAACTGCTCTGGTGCAAAGAATCTTCCACTACGTACTTCAGTTAGCGCCACGATCTTCAGTGCTCAGAATTGGTTAATTCATCAGTCAAAGGGGTAGAAAAAAATACCCTTTGATTCAAATAGAGGATTTACATAAATCCAACTCGTTGCTTAAGCAGGCGAAGCGCTTAACACCTGTTTTGAAAGGTCGCATGAGAGAATAGCCTCGGCTATGACGTAGGCCAGCCATATTCCTTCAGTTCAAGTTAAACAAACCAACACAAATAAGCCATTGGCGGATTTGGTTCTCGCCGAATGATTGATATAGAGCTGGTGCGACAAGAAACTCCAAAGATATCTCCAGAAACATTTCTGTGTAGATGGCTCTGATCTCCAGTCGAATTGCTCTACACCATGTATATATACACGCAAAAGACAAACTGGAAAGTAACGCTCTGCTCGTTCAGCAGTGGATTCGATGTCGTCCAAATTGGAGAAGGCAGAAATTGATCCATACGCGGAGGCAAAGAAATGATTATTCCAAGAATTGAAGCAGATTCGTATCAATCCTAAAGATATCACTTCACAGCATCCACTGTTCGCAGCTTCACACGGCTGACACAACGAGTTCTTTACCACCTGATTCTCCCCCAACAGGCTTCTCTTTCAATACAGCAACATCCTTGAACTGTCAAGTTTGAGAGTGTGTTTGAGAGATTTTAGTAAAAAGTAGTCATGCACGTGCCAACCAGAGCAATTCAAACTTATGTACTAGCCCACATGAATACTACAAGACCTCGCAACATGGAACAAAATGTTTCGAGGACCATGATCAGGTACCAAAGCCACAACATACCTTCTGGAATAAAGTCTCCAAGCTGTCCACTCCAAGGTTTTGTAGGTCGAGGACCCTGGTGTACCGTTGTTGGTAAATCTTCACGAACTGCTTCAGCGGGATTTCAAGAGCATAAACGACTAATAGCTCCTGAAGTTCACACTTAAAATATGCCAACTTCATATCACCCTCGTAGTCTTCAGCTTTAACCTGTAGAATATGTTCATGAGAATATAACTTCATCAGTTCTAGTTTCAAAAGCTCGGTTTCAGCTTCAGTGGTGATTGCATATCCAATGAGAATATCGATGCATTTCAGCGGCTAGGGGAGAGATGAAACCTTCCTGAACAGCTCTGACCTACATACGAACACGTAACAAGCGTTGCCACGTTTTCGAAACTTAAGCAAATGTCAATCCGGCGGTACAAACGAAAAAGATAGACAGTATCTTACCTCCCCACCGTCACAAACTTCAGGTTTAGCTACATCAGGTTTCGCCTTGAGGTCATTGACAGTATCCCAGTCGGTAGGAAACGAAAAAGCAGGTTTCGCATCGTCCATATCCATATCCAGCAAGTGCTTCTGGCTGGAAATATCGGGAGCAGAAAAATCAGCTTTAATCGTCTCTTTCACTTCTTTCACCGTGACAATCTCAGGGTCGGAGTCCTCGCTGGTTTCACCGCTGCAATAACCATCAGAAACACACATCGTCATATTCCGTTCCACTAGATCAGACGGACACTGCCTTCACCACAGATGCAACGACGCACTTCTACAAGGTACAACAAAAAGAGACTATAGTACCTGTCTTTGTCGCATCTAGGAGTAGAGACTCGGGGTGTAGAAGGCTTGTATTTATTCCCGACGCGAGATTTTTTCTCAACCTTCTCGATTAGATGCAAGGTCTTGTTTGTGCCATCACCCTTGACCACCAAAGTATCCTTCATCTTCTCTAAGAGGTGCACGAGCTTCAAGACGTTGTACTCAGATTTATACAAAGGTCGACCATAATGTTTGTTGTACTCCGCTGGCACTTTCACCAAGGTCATTTTGCCCCCGTTCTGCTTCAGAAGCCACACAAGCTGCTTCTTCAGCCCTGTAACATCGCCAGGTTGTACCCACGAGTTTCCTCCAGGACTCGTTGGCTCCACTGTATCCGAAGAGAACCCCAATTCACCGGCTTGAACAGCTTGGTATCCAGGCTGTACAGCAGGAACGACTTCTGGAGTAGAGAATACAGATCGATTGCTTCTCAACGAGGCAGGCGCAGATGGCGCGGTGCGGTTTGTGACCATGTGTACTGCCGGATTCACCCTAAGTCCTTGAGAGTTGATGTGCCCTGGCAGCGCATACGTTTGATGCCCGTAATCGATAGATGTCGTATGTGCCTGAGAATACATGTTAAGATGCCCGGGGTGCGCCCCGTTGTAGATAGGTCGTCTCTGAACCAAGATTTCTTCACCTAACACGTGATCGTCGTCGACGTCGTTGTTGGAAGGGATACGACGGCTCTCCGGATGAAAATCTGAGTAATGACCAGGGGGCATCTCAGCAGTGAAGGAGTTATGGTTGTGTAAGACATTTGGAGATCTCTGCATAGAGTTCGACCTCGCTTTGACAAGCCCCTCGCCACGGCAAAGAGATGGCCAATCCCACACGTAGTGCCCGGCACCCTTGAGAGCGGGCGAAACGCCGACGCCGTCAGGAATAACGAGAACCACCACGTATCCGCGTTGACCAAGCTTGTGCAAAGCAGGTGCGAAATCTACATCGCCAGTCACGAGGACAATCGTGGAGCAAGGGTTGTCGAGTGCAAAGAGAAACATGTCCACCAGTATGGCCTTGTCCGCCGCGTCCTTCTTGCCGTTGGGCACGTCGATCAGGTTGACGCCCGTCCGCTGGCATCCCTCGCGAACTTTTTTAGGGAAGTGGTTGAAGTCGCCGTACGCTGAAAACATAGTGACTGCCCCAATATGAGGTTGGTCTCGCAATGCAATCCTGATGTTACCAGCCACATCCTCGGCGTTCACCTCCCCTGGCACTGGGCAGTTTTCTATGTCCCATAGAATGGCCACTGGACCTGACGGTCGTGCAGGCATAACCTGCTGCTGCTGCTGCTGCTGAATGTTGGCTCGGTGATAGTTTTGCGATCGGGCAGCAGCCTCCAACCCTGGATTTCGCCGCCCTGGGGTGAGAGACCTCAAAGGTGTGGCCATTGTTTTGACGATCACTGCAGCAAGGGATACGGACACAGCAGAAAATATGCGTAATCTTGAAATGAACCAATGTATTGTCTCGTTCTGGATTCAAAATCAACCAATTTCTGTGAGTTTGACGTACACTACAAGCTTGCCGGACCAAACTGACAACGTCAACAAGAAGGAAGAGAACGAGAAACAGGACGATCAAGACCTACTAGTTCTACTGCCCAGAAACGCAAAACGACACGGATTTTTCACATAGGAACTGCAATAAACGGCGCTCTACTTGGTGGATTCCGGATCCATACGTAAAGCCGATCCTTCCATGTCGCAAAGAAGCGCACTTCCGATCTAAAGGGGCTGAAGCTTGTCCGAGGTCGATAGCACAGTCCATGATCCCAAAACCTCTCTAAGAAGGACCTCTGCTAATCCCTAACGTGCTAATCACACAACATGAATCAACCCAAGTCCAAGCTCGAAGTTCAATCGATCACTTACCTTGTAAACAGGTACAGGTTCGCGGGAGAGTAGCGCCTGATTCCAGAATCAAGCTTAAACGACCGAATCCGGCCTCCCACGCTCACCACAAAAACAGACCCGGCACTTCCATCAGCGCTTCCCAAGCCACATGCGCCATTCCACACGCACTTCACACCATACCCCCTCGATCCTTCACAGCTTCAAATCTCTCTCTCTCTCTCTCTCGCTCTCGCTCTTACCCTCGTTCACTCCCCTTCACAGCTCACCAATCCTGCCCTTCCTCCGGAAACACCACCCTCCACCTCGCCACTCCTAGCAAACCAAGAGCACCACACACTCGTCTCTCATCAACCCAGCGGGCACGGAACCACGACACGAAAAAAAATTGGAAAATGGAGGACAAAAAACACTGCTACCCGAATACATGAAGAGGAACAAAGAACATCAATAGGGGGGGGGGAGAAGAATAAAGGCTCAGGACTCTCTCGCAACCAGCAATCCGGACTCGGTCATCGTGTAATAATAAGGCGGCAACGACAACATCATCACCGGAGAAAACAGCCCTTTTTACTACGACCCAATTCCCTCCCTCCACAACCGCAAACCAACAACCTTCGCTTCTGACGTACTAATCCGATCCCCGCATCTTCGAATCACGGTCTCTCTCTCTCTCTCTCACGCTGCTGCTGCTGCGAGGTAACGCAATCGACCGATCCGCGCGAAGCCAATTTCACGTCGCGAGGAAGCTGCGTGAGCGAGAGGGGGGCTATGTCTTCTCCCCCCCTGCGCGCCCCCCCCCCCCCCCCAATGACCGGGGCGGGCCCCTTGTGGATCCACAATAGGCGTAGATATGCCATGCGGGGCTGAATTGGTGGATCTGCTGGGCTGGGGCGGTTGACCAGGTTCGGTTATGCAGCGGACCCGTTCCGGCGGGGTCCGAAGGCACGGACACCCTCCATTGTTGCAGTTCGTTAGTTAGTTCGACCACCCCGCTGCTAAGTTACTAAGTTCGATGTAGGGGCTATCCGTATGACTGGGCTCGAGCCCTGACCGTTTCCCCAGTTCTCCTCCTCTCCGATGAATGAAACACGTTCATCAAATGGATGAGACTTCGTGTTTTCCGTCGCCTCGGTTCTCTCTCCACCTTGCCAGCTCATCATTGGGGCCCGGGTTGCCGGGGAACCGAGGGGGGTGAAACCAACCCGTTATTTTTCATTTTCCCTCACCCTAATCTTATTCTTTTCAAACTTCTTGAGTGGGGAGCATCATCAGCTTTCTCAAAAGTAGTAGCTCCTTGGAAATTGAGTTGGCTATGGGCTCATTCCAACTTATGCATTAATTGTTAAAAAGATGAGAAAAAAAAAAAGCCTCCACGATGGGTTTTTTGTAGCCATGTACTCACCCAAAAATAAGTTGGTTTCTTTAGGTTAAAACAAACACCCTGCTTATTATCAAACCATGGTGACGTGGATGAATTGACCTTGGGAACTAAATGAAAACACCATAAACGGTGAAGAAGATTGTTACCACTTGTGCTGATGTGGCAGTTACTGGCCCTAGGGTTTTTATAAGGGAAGGGGGGAATCCCGCAAGCTTGGAGAGGGGGTGGAGGTGTGTGTCCCTGCCCTGCCTGGCCAAGCCGAGCCAATGAGGGAAAGGAAATAATACAAAGGAGTGTGGGGAGTTGTCCTTGTTTAAAGCTCATTGGGTGAAGCTCTGACATGGCCGGTGCCCACAAAAGCAAGGCCCCGCAGGGTGGGGAGTAGTACAACTATGGCCTCAAAGCAGGTGGCCCCGCATGTTCTGAGTGGGAAAGTGACTCACAAGCCCTTCTCACTCTCCCCCTCTCCACTTTGTCTTTCACTCATCAGGAGAAGAAGGAAGGAAGCAGAATAAGATGAAAGAATAAGGAATAGTAAGAAGTTAATGTAATCAGGGGCTTAAGTTGTGATCAGGAGAATCCAAATAGGGTTTGCCTGATCCCCCACAAATGCATACATTGTGTGTCCATCAATTTTATAAACATGGGATGGTGCCCCATCCAAAGCAGTGAAGCAAGCTCAAATGGGGTGGTGGTGGTTGTGTGATCATCATCATCAAGGGGGTGCATTGAGGTACAGTCTCATGTCTATAGTAGCACAGAAAAAAGCTGGGCCATGATGGACAGGATGGAGGCTATGCCTGCCTGCAATATTCTCTGGCAGACACTCCCCCCATAGAAAAGTGGTAGTATTAGTAGTGGTAATGGTTATAATAAAACACTTGGTGTGTGTGTGTGTGTGTATATATATATATATATATAATTGTCTATTTACCTATGCTCTTCCTCTACTTGAAAGTATAGAAAGCAGAGGAGTGTAAATGGGGAGGGGGGGCTGTGGGATTCATCAGCCAAAGGTGGCAGCCAGACATACATGCAGACAGAGAGAGCCTGGAGAATTTGTACATTGTCCCCACCCCCTAATGCTATCTCTGGAAAAGGAAGAGCAAAAATATTATTATAAAAAATAAAAGTAAAAGTAGAAAAAAAAAATATATATATATATATATATGTATATAGGAAGGAAGGAAGGAAAAGGTGGGTGGTGCTGGGCAGAAGCAAAAAACTGTTGGTTGCATACAGCTTGTGTCACTTCCCCCCATTTCTTTTTCTTTTTTTATTTTTGTACTTTTCTTTCCCCTATTTTAAAACTTTTTTCGAGGGTGGGGTGGGTTTCCCAAAAGGACCTCATCCTCAATAGAGTGCAATGGCGAGCTGGTATTGGTTGGACGGTGCTGCTGCCTCTGCCCTGCTGCTGCTTCTGCCTTCCTTCCCTTTTCCTTTCAGAATAAAAGATGGATGACGTTAGGGGAAGAGGATGAAAAGTCGATGGTTCCATGGGATGGGGATGAATGATTGCAGCTGGGCATTCGAGATTTGTGTGAGTCTGTTCCAGGTCCTTCCGAGTGTTAGTTTATCTTTAAAAAAAAATAGAGTGAGTTGTAGATTCTGCTACAACTACCCCACGTCAACTTGGTGTTCCTCATTCATGTCATCAACCTCTCCAAAATAAGTCCGGAATATACAATAAATAAATAAATAAATTCATGATTTGTATTTTTTTTAATGTTAATAACTGAATAGAATGTATTCTCTTATCTTCAACATGCAATTTAGAGCTACAAAAATAATTATAAAACACTTATAAAAACATTGTGGTTTTTTATCCAAAAACTGAAGTGTGTGTGTGTATATATACATATATATATATATATATATATACATAGAAGAATGTTAAATTGACTATGAACTTTTGTGTTTTGGTCATGATGAAGAATGTTAAATCTTTACTAAACCAACTCATCTATCAAAACCATTGTTACACCCCTCATCCTTATTCTCCATTGCCATTTTATAGAAAATGATATTCAACTTTCAAAGCAAATTATGTTACTGAAGAAACCAACTCTGAACTCCAAAGCCTTCTGCCATGGATTTTACACATGATGTCTATTTCAAAAGATTTATACATATTAAATTTTAGTTGGAAAATTTTAGGTCCTACAAGTATACAAAACAAAATCAAGAAATCCAACAATGCTTTAATTACAACAAGATGTGTTATATTTTAAGTGCAATTAGAATATTGCAATGCAACACCAACAATGATTTTAAATCAAAAAAAAATTTCATAAAAAAAAATCTCTATTCAAGGTTATTATTGCTTATTCAAATATATATTGGTTTTGCCATTGTCTTCACCATATATGTAAATATTAATAAACACAAAAGTTTTAAATGCAATATACAAACAAAGGTACTTATTGCAGAAACATAAAAAAATAAATTAAAATTAACAAAATATGTCTATAGATTTAAAACATAGTTTCTAAATACAACGTATATATTTTTAATGAAAAAAAAAAAAAAAAATTATGGCAGAAACTGTTAAAATCACTATCTGTGGGAAACAACCTTAGCTTCTACTTAAGTAAACTTACTTCTGGAGCATTTTCATTTGATTTTTAAATTTTTTACATTTGATATAGTAGATTCTATAATAATGTACATCACCTTTCATCTAATCACACAAAAAAAAAAATTACCACACATATTTTAGAACATCAATATTACATACATAGATAGATACATACATACCTGAAATGTTGATTTATTTGTTTTTGTTTGGACATGATGTTATGAAAAACTTCCTTTTGTTTTTATAGATAGATATGCATACATGCATACATACATGTGCATAGGATTTTAAGCTACAATTGCTCTAATCCATTACAATTTGTTAAATTAAAACATATATTTTAAATGATGGGCAATCATGAAAAGAATTGTCACAAAGTGTAAAGCTCAACAAGTCCAAAATACTGCACTTCCCAATTAACTCAAACATTAGTACAACTTTAGACCCTTTTACTGTTATGAAGAGCAGACACTAGACTTGACTAACATTGCAACTGCAAAATAATAAACCAGGGAATTGTTCAGCACACCTTTTGAGTCAGTGTACTCACAACCACCCCAAACCAATATTCAAGAGGGGGTGCGCCCCCCCCACCCCCCTCAAAGTCTATAAGCTTCAAACCCCGTGGAAGATATTAGGGCAACGCCGAAGCTGAGTTGGCACGGAATCCACGGTGGTATTGATCAGCTCCGCATAAATATCCCGAATGGTGCTCATCCACGCAGGTACGCGGCCGCCCTCAGAATCCACGTTGGCCTGCTGAGGTGGAACCCTGCTGGACCCCCCAGGGCGGGTCGATTTTCAACATATGCCGGGATATTGCATGAAGAAAGAACAAGACGGCCGCCCCATGGCCGACCACCGAAGAATATGCATGCAGGGCCTGACCGTCTGTATCATGAGGCCAGCCCGAGGAGAGGCGGGCAGCACAGAATATGAGTGGGTGGTGAAAGTAGACTAGGGACCCTTACGGGCTGTGGTGGTAGGGCAGCAGCCCCACCGCCCGAAACAAAAAATTCACGAAATGAAATAAAGAAAGGAAAAAGCGAAAAGAAAAAAGAGAGGAGGAGCTGCGTCGTAGTGGCGGCAGTGCCACGTGGGAACGCGCTGGCCGGGCACCCGTGCTGATATTTTGGAAACGAGAATGTGGTCGGTCTGCCCACTCTCTACGTTCCCGCTCCAAATGTTCGGTTCGCGCTTTTTCTGTGCCAGCTGGCGGATCCAACGTGGGGACCTCTGCGTTGTGGAACTCACCACCACCGCCCTCCTCTTGGATTTGCTTTGGCTGGTTCCTTTGCTTCTTCCTCTTTAATTTTAATTTCAATTTTACTTTCTTTCTTTATACTAATTATTGGGTTGTGGGATTGTTATACTGTTTAATGTTTCTAATATGGTTTAATAATTTGGGACCTTAGGATTGAGGGGAAGTAGTTGTGTGATTTGTTGGATGGGAGCCATTTGAGAAATGCGCTGCAATAATTATTTATTTATTTATTTATTTAAAATTTTTAAATCGGAGTGGAGGTGTTCACATTTGTGGAGAGTCTTTTTGTGGAATGTCTTGCACAAAGATTTTTGTTTGTAAAAGGTTGAGAATGCTCATCCATACAGCCCCACATGACTCATACAGAATAGCTATATTTCAAAAGGCTATTGATGAACACCTGGCTTGATAATAAATAAAAAATACAACTATATTGGCTTCCAACATTGATCCTTTGAAAGACTTTTTTTTAAACTTTTTTTTCTCTTTCTTTGGATGCATT